TCCCCAATTAACTATTTTTTTTAAAGCTCCAAAAGGGGGGAAAAAACTTACAGGCAGGCAGGCAGGCAGGCAGAAAGAGCTGCTCACCGATGAGCTTGATTGCAGGCAGGGAGATTCAGTTGCTTGCTGATGCAATGGATTGCATGGATTACAGTAAGCAAAGCAAGTCAGGCATGCGAAGGTAAGCAAGCTGGAGGCTGGGGGAGGATTTTTGCTACCGGTTCTCCGAACTGCCAGCCGCCATCGCTACCTACTCACCCGAGCCGGTCTGAACCGGGAGCATTTCACCCCTGGAGAGATCTATTTGAGATTGCCATAAATACTCTGCTCTTTTTCTTTTTCTTTTTGTCAATAGATGTCAGGAACTGACATTTTTGTGGCCTCTTGAAAACTGCTGGGAGTTGCAGGATAATCAAGCTCAGAGCCACTAATGTAGCCTGCTATTGACTTAAGGTTCAACCAACCCTCACTTTTTTATTCAGCTCCATGTTTACTTTCTTAATATTATTACAGCTTGTTAAAGATTGAAAACCTTCAGAAGGTTTTGGTTGTATTTGCTTTGTTAGTTCTCATTTAGTCCTTTAAGGAAGAAAATTGCAAGCTTTATAGGATTTTTTAAAATATACAAATGAAACTAGATGATGATTTGACAATTACAAAAAATGTACAAATGTACCTTTAATAATTAAATTAATATCAAACCAGAAAAGTGATGTGGATAACATCTCTACAATAGATTCAAAATAAAGATTTGTTGGAACTGTCAAAGAGAAGTGACTGTGAGAAGATGAACAGCAGTATAGATATTTTCTCTTTACTGGAGTTACAAAAGAGACTTGGTGAGGATGTTAACAATTCTCAAGAAAAGTCAAGAGAGTATGAAAAAGCAAATGCTTGGCTTTTGAAGGGATTCAGGTTTGTTGGGAGAAATAGAAAAGAATATGAAATCACTTTATTTGCTCAAGATTAATAATATATCCGGTATATCCGGTAATGTTTAATGGTTTACAGATTAGATCTGTATAACAATATTTTAAGGATTTTATTTATGAAGATGCGATTTTATCTCCAGTGAGGTTTAATGGACTTTTTATTAGGATTGGATGATGATACTTTGAAAATTTTGTTTACTTGAAAATGTTATATAAGTGTAAAAGGAAAGATTCAAAGTGGGCTAATTAATGTAATTTTGTATAGTATATTGTTATTACAGATAATCGCTAACAGATTTTTACTGATTAAGATGGAATGAAGCTTTAAACATTTTATTATAGAGGATGGAATGAGATGTAGGATGAAGTAGTGATTTTTAAGATATGGTGATAAACTGTTAATGTTGACTATACTTACTGGGGAGGAAGAGAGAGTTTTCTTTTTTCTTTTCCCAGTTTTTATTTTTCTGCACTTCTTTATTTTCATTTTTTATTTTTTCTTTCTTTTTTGTACATTTTTATTCAGTGTAGAATGTTAATTGTATTTGAATAGCATCATCCTTAGTAAATTAATTACCAAAAATTGAGATAGAATCATGGAATGGAAGGGGGAATTTTTCTAACATTCAATCATAATACCAATAGAATGTAATTGCTAAAAGGAAGTTTTACTTTAGTAATATGTTTTTAGTTCAGCCCCCTGTACAGTGTGGAAAAGTGCAACACCTCTGACATCAGCATCAACAGCCCCCCACTTATTGAGGCCTTTGTTGTCTTCTTAAACTGTTCTTCCCATTAGGAATGTTTTCCTGATGTCCAGTCAAATCTACTTCCTTGTAACTTACAGTAAACCCACCTTTTCTTCTTGTCCTTTCTTGAACAACTTTTTATATTAGGAGTCTCCAAACTTGGCAAACTTGTGGACTTTAACACCCAGAATGGCTGCCTGAGGAATTCTGAGAGATGAAGTCCATAAGTCTTAAAGTTGCCAACTTTGGAGATTCCTGTTCTATATCACTGTCCTTCAGATAATTGAAGATAGTTATCATGTCTCCCTGCAGTCTTCTTTTCTTCAGACAAACGTATCAATCATCTCTCATGATTCCTTATAAGTCCTTCCAGGTCCTGCAAAATATTGGTTGCTTTTCTCTGCACATTCACTTTCTGAACACCTGAATCCTTTTTCCAAGAACTGTTGACTAATAAGGTCCTTTACATCCTACACTCATGCTGTTTATTTTTCCTATTCAAATGTAAAATGTATTTTTCTCTGCTAAGATTTATTTTGCAGATGAACATGCTCCATTCTATCAAACCTCTTAATTTTTCCACTCTAAATCTAAATATAAAAGACTGTCTTTTAAAGTGCCTTTTCTCCTATCTTTGTGCTTTCTGCAGATTTGATAGTATATATTCTAAACTAGGCTATGTTTAGTCAAGGCTATGGTTTTCCCAGTTGCAATGTATGGCTGTGAAAGTTGGACCATAAGAAAGGCTGAGTGCCAAAGAATTGAGGCCTTTGAACTATGGTACTGGAGAAGACTCCTGCGAGTCCCTTGGACTGCAAGGTGATCAGTCCTAGAGGCGATCAACCCTGACTGCTCTTTAGAAGGCCAGATCCTGAAGATGAAACTCAAATACTTTGGCCACCTCTGAGAAGGAAGGACTCACTGGAGAAGAGCCTAATGCTGGGAAAGATTGAGAGCAAAAGAAGAATGGGATGATAGAGAATGAGGCGGCTGGATGGAGTCACCGAAGCAGTAGGCGTGAGCTTAAATGAACTCCAGAGGATAGTAGAGAAGGCCTGGAGGAATGTTGTCCATGGGGTTGCGATGGGTCGGACATGACTTCACAACTAATGTTCTGCCCCAGCTACGGACCCCAAAGAACGCAGCACACACAAAGTCCATACAAACCTTAATTTACTAATTAAAGACTACTAATGAGCTTTCTTAGTAGTTGTTCGGACACAAGTACAATAAATCAGTCTTTTCTGAACAAGGGCTTTTAATTTAACTTCATTAACAGCCGACAAGAATTCAAAGAATAATAACTCAGTTCTGAGGCACAGTATTTCAGATAACTATAATCTTACTGTGGTTGGCAGAATGCCCAGGAGCAATTTGCAGGAAAACTGATAAGAGAGAAACAAGAACCAAATCAAACATTTTCTGGAATCAAGACATGAAGGAATTTGAACGAAGTTGTTTCCTACAAATTGCATTAGTCGTCGTCCTTCCTTAAATAGGCTAGGGGAGTGGCCAATTAGCCCCAAGCCTTACTCTCGAGGAGACCTCCTCCTGAGGAGTCACTCCTGCCTTTTCGCAGCTCTGCGCACTCGTGCATCGAGAAGAGGCTCCTCCTCCTCTTCTTCTTCACTTATGGGAGCTTCTGGAGGTTCTGAAGGCCCTGGCTGAATCGCCGGCTCTGGCACCACATCTTCTCCAGCCTCCTCATTGTCCGACTCAAGTGCCAACTGCACAGGCTGCTGATGCAGCACCACACCAGCCTCCTCGCTGTTGGAATCAGCTACTAACTGCACAGGCCACTCATTGGCCACAGCTAACAACAATTCTAAATCTTTCTTATTGTTTTTCTTAGAACAACAATTCTAAATTATTTTTATCAAAATAATTTATAAATATGTTGAATAGCACAGAGTCTAAAAAATCCCCATGTTATGTTGCCCAATATTTCAGTCTTGAAACAGAACCATTCACAGAACTCAATTCTTTACTTACTCTGTATTCCTCTAATAGAAACATAGCCCAGTACATTTTTCATGTTCCCCACTAGAATCTCAAGGTAGATTTCTTGAGTGCTTTGTTGAAGAAAAAGTTCACTATGCCTACCACATTCTCATGATTACTTTTATTAAAAAATCAGGTTGGTCTGTTATGATGTATCTTGTCATGATGGCTCCTGCCAAGTGATGTAGTCTACAATAACCCAAGTCCTGTGGCTCATCTCATCTGAAGAGAGGGACATCATTTGTTCTTCTCCAGTTGTCTAGCACTATGTCTATCCCTCATGATTTTTCAAAAAAATAAAAATAAATAAATCATAGAAATAGGCTGCAAAATGACATTGACAAACTCCTTCATGAGTCTCAAAAGTAATTATTCTAGTTCTGGAGACCTGGATTCATTCATGGTCACCAGATACTTCCTAATAAAGTCTGCATTTTTTTTTTGATTGCTTCAACACAAAATTGTCTATTCTATTTGAAAATCTGTTTTCATTTAAATTCTTCTGGGAACCTACATTTTCATCTTTTTAGATACTAAAAGAGTATTGTCATATGATCTAACCTCCATCCTAGCTATCTCGTATACTGTAGATTTAATTTTATTAACTTCAAAAGTGACAAAGTTTATGGCACCCTTGGTATATTTGGGAAATTATGAGATGCTAAGATCTTTCTATATTTTTTAGATTCCATTTCCCCCTGCAGACCTGTGATTATATACATAAACTTGGACAACAACCAGCAACAATAATCAGCACTGTAGGTGAACCTGAGAAGAACCTGAAAAGACTCCCCAAAATAACCCAGTGACACAAATATCTATATTGTTGCTAGGGAAAATTATTTTGGCTCAATGGAGTCTTACCTTTCAGCAAGCTAATCAGTTCTGGAGGATGAAAGTCTATAGAGGAGCAAAAAAACATGGAATTAGTTCCACTTTCATTTGGGGAAGGAGGGAATTTTCTCCCAATTTTTCTTGTTTCATTTTAGTTGCTTGGAATGATGTTTTCCACCTCTGGCACTTACATAGTTTAGAGAGTATTTCTGATATACTGGGATAATACAAAAAGAAAATATCCTGAAGATTGTTGAGAAATCACAGAATCCCCAAGGATTCACTTTGCCTTTTCTGAAAAGTATCCAATGTTTATCTGTTTTTGAAAACTCAGGGAGACAAATGTGAACTCTTTACTTCCTTTTTACAGTCTCACTGGAAATTATGGTTCTTTTTTTCATTGTGTTCCTCGTTCTTGTCTTTCTGTTTGATAGTTTATATTTTGGGAGAATTAATATCATGTGTTTCTCTTTTCTGCTGCTAGCTAAAAATGGTAACAAGAAAGGTGAGAAAAACAAGAAGAGCAATGAAAGAACACCAGATGGCAACTATGAAAGGCGAAACACTGGTGAAGACAGCAGAGAAAGTAAGCGAGAATGATTGAAGATTTGTTTGCACCTCTTTTTTTGGGTGAACTCTTTCTTGGGACAAATTTTAATGATGCGAGAAGCAATCCTAAAAATAAATATTTGATCTTCTGGAATATGAAGGTAATTCATTACAGTGGTTCCTTTATAAATAAAAACTTATCAAACTTCTTCGTGAAGTGCAAGAAAAGCACTTTTAAGGTTAAAATGGATAAATGTGGGAGAAAGTGAAACTAACAAGAAAAGGACTCTGAGTGTTTAGCTCTAGATTTATATACCAATTAAATTTCAGAGGAATAAATCGGAATAGGACAGATATGAAAGGCATCCAGATCAAAAGGAGTCAAAATCCAAAGCTTCACTAATGATTTGGCAATTATTATTTTTTTTAAATGTAGACACAGACAATGCTTCTTTAAAGTGGCAACGTTGCTTTTCAAGCTTCTACGAAAAGCAGGGATGATAAGCAGGTGGAGGAGGAAGGGAGTGTAATTTTGCAACTGACAGCTCTAGCTTTTAATTACAGTATCTGCTTTTAGAGGATTCCCCAATTATAGTGATCTTCATTGAAGAACATTGACTGTTGAAATAATATATTATATATCTACTGTATCAGTATTTCACAATCAGAAAATAGGGATGTGACTATTTCAACCCATCATATCTGGCACACTTATTTTTAGCTATTCCTCTCTGCCTGTTCCAACATGCTTTCTGTCCCTTAACCCCCAATTAAACAAGGTATTATTAACTGGATGCATTTCCAGGAATCAACCTTTCCTTGCCAAAGTTTCTGATTGCAGAGTTTAAGTTAATCCCAGCCCTCGAGCAGGCTACTCTGAGTTATCAGGACGGTACAGGAACAAACATTAAGTCAGGAGTCTGTTGTGCTTCTAGGGATACAGCTCTCAATTACAGCTTGCTGTTCCTTGGCGACAGATGAGCACAAAGATGTTTCAGGCAATCAATATGTGTGTCTTGAGGGTAGGAAGAAATGCTTCTTCTATCTCTCAGTTTTACGTGGGTTTAAAAAGCCTATTTTCCTCCATGTACTGATAATGATGGCAAACCAACACACCGTTTTTGTATAGACTTCCTCAGCTTGTCTTATTGTACCATACTGATTTATACAGTGATTGGGCAAAGATAGGAGTAAGGAGTAGGCTCCAGTCCAGTGGTGGGTTCCTCCCGGTTCGGCCCGGTTCGGCTGAGCCGGTAGCAGTGACGATATGATGTCACCGAACTAGTTCTCTTTGTTCGGGAGCTGGGCCCTCCTGCCCCCTCTGCCTCCCACGTTATTCTTACCTTTTATTTGGCCCCACCGCCAATCTATTGCTGCCTCCCGAGTCCCAGCTGATCGGCTAGAAGGAAAAAAGCTGTTTAAACTCTTGCCGCGGGGCTTCAAAGGGCCGCCCTACAGCTGATCAGTGTTAAAGGTAGTGTGGTGGTAGACTGGTGCCTCCAAAAACAAATGGGTAGACCGGTGCCTCCAAAAACAAATGAATAGACTGGTACAGCTCTGCAAGCAGTTAAAAGCCTGGTAGACCAGTACCTCTGCTAAATCCTAAAGAATTGTCACATGACCATCAAGCCACACCCACAAAATAAGCCACACCCACAGAACCGGTAGTAAAAATTTTTAGAACCCACCCCTGCTCCACTCCCCTAGTTAAAAGCCCTCTGCAAGAAAAGTCAGCACAGAGCCTTGGCAGCAACACTTCCTATTTCTATGTTGAAGGGTCCACTTTGCTGAAAACATCCTTCCCCATTCTTGCAGCAGGTGGAAGATGGGACAAGGCATAATAATCAATTGAATTCCGCATCTGGGGAAGTGAAGAAAATTGGGGCAAGGAGAGCAAGGGGACAAAAACTATGGATCCATTCTAAATGAACAGAAATCTGGTAAAACATGGTGAAAATGACTGTGATCCATGTACTGTACAAGCAACCAAGTTAGAGGCTGATTTAATAATATGAGAAGTTTAGTGAATTCAGATTTTCATATTAACTTATTAAATGTGTTCTTCCTGGATCATTATGGAATGTGAAATTGGAAGTTTAGTATTTAAAGTAATCAGAATTCTGCAGTTCAGTTATCTAAAGAAAAATACAGCTTTTGGATTGCATTTATTTGTAATACAGGAAATAAGCATAAAGAATACACACACACACACACACACACACACACACACACACACACTTACATACATATATTAAAAGTGATTAAAAGTTCACATAATCCTTTGATTAGCTGCATGTTTCTCTTTGAAATAAGAGCAGTGTTCATTAGTTATAAAGATAATAAAACATGGATTTAGATATAATTTATTTAAAAGCTTTTTTATTGCATCCTACAACCTTGATTATAAGCCATGGAATAGTCTAGCACCAAGAAAATTGAAAATGCAATCTTATGTATGTGTCCCACAAATCTCACTAGATCCTTTGTCTCAACTACAAGTGGGCGTGAAAAAGATTTTGCACCATAATCATTACCATATTTTAAAATAAACACAAATCCACTGTAGCTAAAGCTTATTTCATAATCCTATTTTTCCTTATATAATTAAGGTTTTTTAATTAATATAGCTAGAAAAACTGAAAAGAACCAAAATAACTCAAGATATTTCAAGCTTGACATTTTAGAAGCTGAACAAAAAAAGATTTCTCTTTTCATCCAGCGTGTTAATAAAATTGAGGTCTGTCTGAACTGCATGTTTGAATATTCATTTTTCCACTTGCTGCTTTAGGAAAATTGTTTTGAAGACTTACTTATCCACATGCTGGCTTGTTATCAGGCATAGCTGTGCTAGTAGCTGTGTCTGCTCTAGTAATGCCTGACTTAATCCTTCCCAGAATGGAAATTAAAATTTGACTTGCCAATTGCCCAAGCATTTACCTCCCTGTTTTGTGAGATTAGTTATTTGTTTCAAGTTGCTAACAAGCTGCAACAGGATAAAGAAATTAAAAAAATATATAATACTTTCCTAGTTTATATATTTATTATTTGTAGCATGCAATGCTGAATGAAGCTGCTGCACCTCCCTCAACTGAAAAGCTTAGATCTGTATAGAGAAAACTAAAATTGGAAATAAAAAGATTGTGAAAGACACTATGAGAGAAAGAGGCACATGGTTGCTGAATGAAAACATAATGTTGAATCTGGAGCAGAAATCAGATGAACTGGACAAGTTTCCCACATATTTGATACAGCATGCCAGATTTCGATAACAGATATGTTCCAATAACATCATCCCTAAATGCATACATCAGTGCAGTGGTGGGATTCAAATAATTTAACAACCAGTTCTCTGCCCTAATGATTTCTTTCAACAACCAGTTCACCAAACTGCTCAGAAAGTTAAGTTCTCCCAAAGTGGTGCGAACTGGCTGAATCCCACCACTGCATTAGGAGTGTCAAACTCAAAGCCTGCAGGCCAGACCCGGCCCACATGGTGCTTAGATCTGGCCCATGAGGCTGCCCTGGAAACAGCAAAGGACTGGCCTGCAGTGCCTCTGCTAGCAAAAATGGAACTCAGGAGGGCCACAAGTGATTCTCCCAGGCTCCATTTCCAACCCTGATGGCCTTCCCCCCCAAGCTCCATGTTTGCTGGCAGGGGAGACCATCACAGTCAAAAGGAGGCCATCACAGCCAAAAACGGAGCTCAGGAACCCGTTTTCGCTGGCAGAGTGCTTGGGCCACCACAGGCGCCCGCAACATGAGTGACATCATGGCCACATCCACCTTGCCCCCCCCCAAGGGTCTCAATGAAATCGAGTTCAACACCCCTGGCATACATCATCAAGGATAATGTTTAGCCTTTCTGGTTTACTCTAAAGCTCTAGGCATTTTCAATTGTGTTTCAATTGTTGTATTAGGCAGGGGTGCCAAACTGCTGGCCCACAGGCTGGATCATCCATGCCACACCCATCCCAGCTTCTCAAATGGGAAAAACACGGCGAAACGTCACATGATGGCAACGTGACGTGGTGAGTTTGACACCTGTGTATTAGAGGTTGGCTCCTCTTGAAGCTCTTCTCAGTTTGATGATGGTTTACTGTACTATGCAACTCTTTAAAACTGGATCACAGATGAAGCTACTCCAATAAAGGAAGTCTTTCATCAGATGGTGACCTTTGGCTAAAATTCTTCATTACCTTAAGGAGAAATTTTCAATATGTGTTACATTTGCATTTCTTTTTATTCATCTAGTTTAAACAGTATTTAAGCTGCAGTAGCATATGCATGCCTTGCAGACATTTCTCTATGGTAGGGATTTTAAATAAATTTTTTATTACTTTTAAAATAATAACAGAGAAAGAAATAAGCAAAAGGAATAAAACACAAGAATACATACCTTATCAAAATAATATGTAAGAAGTGCTTAAAAATAAATGAAAAAATATAACAGAAAAAAAATAAGATATAAAATATAATATATTGTTAAAACAATAACAGTTACAATTCTGTATAATTAACTAATACAAACATTCGAGTATATATATATTGCTCCTATAAGCACGAAGCCGAAAACACCAGCCTGAAGATGACGAATGAGATTTCGTCGAAACTTCGCCAAGACACTTCCAATTCTACACGGGAGAAAACCCAAATAACCAGAGACCTACATACAAACACCTGTGAAAACCTCAGAAAACAAATATATTTATTTATTTATTTATTTATTTATTTATTTATTTATTTATTTATTTATTTATTTATTTACGGATTTATTAAAAACAGAATTTTATATTCTGGTTATGTGGAAAACATGGCTGACTTGCTTCCTTGAATTGCCACATATATTACTAATGCATAGTTTTATAAATTCCCTTTAATTAACTTGTATACTTTATCATTCATTAGTGTTCAACAGGAATAAGAATAAAATTTTATTCATTGTGCAAAGCTATATTAAGGCAATAGGAAGAAGTAAGGATTTGCTGGCAAAAAGCAAAGAAAAACAATTTGAAAGAGGCGAATAATGCTTTTTTTCCT